AAAGGTGAATCAAATGGACCATTTGGTAAAGTAAATCCGTTGGGCATCTTTCTTCGCCTTTAGACAATAATTCTGATGGCAAAAGAGCCAAACGGGACAGGCAAAAAAAAAAGAAAGAAAGAAAACAACCATAGAAACCAGCATTTCTTTCTCCTCAGTCTTGTATTCTATGTCCAAATATGTGTGATATTGGCTAAATTTTCTTCAATAATGACACATTTTCCTTATTAAAGATTAGCTGATATAAATTTGAACAGTCCAAATATTGTCTTATTTTATTCATACTTCTAAAAAATGAGACTGTTGGAGCCTTGTTCTGTTGCAGGATTCCTTCCAAATGAAGAAGCTGCTGAATGAAGTTGGGACGAATCAAATACTTTGGTGATGGTACTTCATCACCAAAGAATCAGAGAATGTAAAGTGACAAAAACACTACCCTGCAAAAAATATTAATATTCGAAGCACTCATATCGTCACTCTGTCATGAGGTCACATAAACATGACCAGCGCTGACAGCCTCAGCATGACATCACCAGTCAAAGCTCAATTACAGTCAGTGGCATTCAAATTTTTTTTTAAAGCCAATGACCATGCCCTTCACACGTCACACCGTTTACACCAGCACTGATAGCCCATTTATCACTGTTTCAAACAGCAGCAGCTGGTGGTGGCAGCCACGGCCCCTTCAGCACTTTGACGGCAGGAGAAGGCGAACAAAAATCTTTTCAGAGTGAAAACAGCAAGCAGTCAGTGAAAATGTCTGTTGTCCTCAGGGGCAAACAATGTTTTTCATTTAGCGTTTAATAAGTTGTCATAACATGACAGATGATTTGTGAGATGATTGAATAAACTATTAGCTCAGGGGAAGGGGTGGGGGTCTGTTGTATGCTGGTGGACTTGAATGAATATGAAGTCTGTTTTTGAATATTACAGCTTAACATGCAGGACAATATATCAGCAGCCTGCATTAAACTTTATGTCTTTTTTGTTGCTTTTCAAAATAAAACATAAATAAAGCCATATGCTCCAATGACCATGCTTAAGCGTATCCCCGGTGCATGTTGCCTACTGACATCTCCAGTGAAGAAACAGATGTTTTCTACACACCTTACAAGTAAATACAATGGCATTGTGTGAAATCATGGGATATCTTTTCCTACTTGAACTTACAGGTTTAAGTATTTTCAGATGTGACACAGTCAAAAAGCTACATAAGACCACAGATGAGTAGTTATTCCTGTTAAGTGCAGCTGTTTCAGTGTTCAGAAAAATTATTATTCATATGCATTAAATACACATGATTTTATCTGTAATAACATCCTTTCAATCAATATGTACTTATTAAGATTTGTAATTACAACAACCATTTATGAACATTTTAAACATAAAAAGGTATATCCATTATTTTTTTATCAGAATACCATTTTTAAAAAAAATTATTTATTTTTTTTTATCAATATGGGTTTCTAGGTCTGTGAGATGTGCAGACTGAGTCCTGAGGTAAAAGACCCAATTACAAAAAGACAGGATTAATCTTAATAAAAGTGAGACATTTATTCCAAAAACAAAAAATAATATTAAAATAAAATAAATAAATACAAGAACTGAGAATTTCAAATTAGTAGAACTAAACTGGGAAAGTGATGAATGGCAAAATGGGAAAATGAGCTGACAAAGTGAAAGTGATACAATGTATACACTGGAGGGTGATTAGGGGAGTGGAGACAGCGGGGAAACACAGTAGGGACAAATTAGACATAATGAGACGGGGGAAGTAAAACTGAAATAATGCACATGAGACAGGGGACTGTCAAAATAAAACACAAACACTAACATACTAAGACACATGAGTTGGACATAGACAAAAAACAAACAAACATGGCAGACTTAACATGGAAGAAACTAAAAAATACAAAATACAGAGGTGAGTGCATAAGGACAGGAGGGGAACACTAAAGGGTAAACTAATAAACCTGAGACATTTAAAATAGAGATGCATAATAAAGAGGAAAAACAATATTGAATAATAATAACTCATAAACACAAGGAAACCAAGGTATGAAAATAGAACATAAACTATTTCACAAAGCGTATAACAACGAAGAGCTATAAGCAGAATTTGTGGCCAATGCAAGTTGCAAGACTGTTATTTGCAGCATACACACTGTAAAAAGAAATCTGTAAAAATACTGTACAATCTACAGTTTTTCTATGAAGGAACTTTCTGTTTTGATTTTTTACAGGTTTTTATCTGTATTTCTTTAACCCCCTTAAGACCTGAACTCTTCCATGGCATGCATTTTAATTTCTCTTTAATATTTGGGCATATTGGGACCTGATGAATGTAAAAAAAAAAGACTTGCCAGATTTGTTTTCACCTTATTTTTGTTTCGGACAAAAATGAGATGCGCATATGAGGATATTCGTTTAAAATTTCAATAGAGCAGTGGCAGTATAATGTCCTCGTACGTGGATATCAGGCCCTTGTAGAGATAAATTTAGTATTTTGGTCTAGACAACCCAAAATGTAATGTCCACATATGTGGACGCCAGGTCCAAGGAGGTTAATTACGCATTGCATTATGGAGCAGGAATCCACAAGAAGCGTGAAAATTTACAAGCAAGTCAGCTATCTTCGTGGGCAGGGACTTGGAGACAATTTTGCACCTTTCTGAAGTAAATATCAAAAATATATTTTACATTTTAAAATTTATATCTTAAAATACTTAATTTTATGTGCTTTTGAAAAGGATGCTTCTTGGAACAAAGAAAATAAATATTATAATAAAATAATTATGATAATAATAATTAAATTATAATTAAAAAAAAGAAATATTAGATTGAATGTTGCTATGGCTCAAATTTTCAGAAAGACATTCTGAAACATTTAATGCCTAGTTTAAAAAAATGTGTCAACTTAATTTTCTTCTGTGACTTCCTAATATAACAAAAACTATACCCTAAATTTTAGAATATCTTAAACTGTTCTCATATATTGGCACAGTAGTTGCTGATGGGCGAGTCCTGTTATTAACTATTAAGTAAAAATGTATTGTGTTAAAAGTAAAAAAAGATTTTAAAAGTTAAAACCCCTAAAATAGGGGTTAGAAAACTGAAATAAAACACTTTGCCTACTTCAAAATTTTCTTTAGAAGGCCAGCCCCTGTTTGATTTTTTATTCATTTAAAAAATAAATAATTCAATGGCTGCAATTCTTTTAGCTCACTTATTAATGGAATCCTAAAACAACTCCAAATTTCCACATTTCCATGTTCTGCATTTGTAAATACAGTGCTTGTCTCCACAATGCTAAAAAGTATTATTTGCTTGCTTCTAGCTACTCCTTACCAAATCTATCTTTTTTCTTCTTTTTTTTTTACCTTTGACTGCTGATCCACTCTATGTGCAGCCATTGGTTTGATTTGTTTTGCTGATCTATAACCAATAAATACTGCAGTAAGCAAGAGCAAAAAATCTTCTTTTTAGATGCCTACAGTTAGCTGATCTTAAGCTGCCACTCATTTACTCACTAATTCCCAGTCACCCCCAGTGACCTTGGGGGTGACTGGCAATGTCACCGGCAATGGATTGTTTCCGTATTTACTTACATAACCTGATCATAAGCGCTGAAGACAAATTACTCCACAAACTGTTTCAGGCAAGACTATATATATTTATATGCAGTTTTATATTTATAACTCCAGTGAGTTATTACTCAGCAGCAGAAAACATGAGGAGAATTTGAAACTGGAGCAATGTCGGAGGAGGGCATCAGCAAAGAGCTGTTTTACTAGAGAGTTCAGTGTCATCTTCCTCTTTCTTTCTGTTCCTTAGTCAAAAACATATGATCCTAAACAAAAATGAATGAACAAAAATATGAACTTAATTTTCCAAAACATCTGGAATTTAGAAACTGAGTTTTTGATTGCAAGCTTTAATTGCAACAGACATTTTGACTGTAACAGGATTGCATTGTTTCACTGAGATAGGTGTACAATGTTTTCTCCTTTTACTTGTTGGCAATTAGACAACAAGTAAAAGGGAAAAAGCAGTGTTTAAGGTTTAAGTAAATGTAAATGTGATTGAAACAAACATTCATGTTTAAAACATACATAAATTTGATAATTGCAGTTGCTTCGTTACACTAGTTATCTGATGATTTCCTTCAGATTTGTTGATGATTCTGTCTTGAATTCTATAGCACATCTTCGGTTTGTTAATATCCTTTCAATAAAATATAACAGGGAAACACATTTAACATAATATAAAAATAAAACTCTTTTATGGAACAATCTTTTATTATTTTAAAGTGCTTGCTCTTGAAGGCTGAAGACTGATAAAAACAGCCAGGATCAGCTCTTTTGTTGTGATGGCTACCCTGACTTTCAGATGTGTAGAAGAAAATGGCTAACAGGTGGCATTTTCACCAAAATGTGTGATTTTAAATACATTAGTCATTAACATTTTTATATGCTGTTTCTAACTTTGATTTCAATATGTTGTTTCATCTGTTGAGACTAAATATAGATCATTGCCAATTATAAGCAGAATTTGTGGCTACTGCAAGTTTCAAAACTGTGGCATTGCAAACAATTGAATTTTGCCCCACAAAAGAAAGTAAATGAAAGGTAGAGAGCTCAAACCCTTTAAAAATGTATGTGTGTGTGTGTGTGTGTGTGGGGGGGGAATTAAGCATTCAGTAAAAAAGTAAATCAGGTCATCCCATGGTGCATCAACGTCTGATGTGAAGTCCGAAGCTGATGCAACCATTTTATTTAAGTAGAAAGGAATTTCTCCAGTCTAACTGGACTTCTATTCTGCAAAGAAACAAACCTAGATACACAGTCCATTAAGTTTTATCAGCAATTCAACAAGGACTCAAAACACTGTGAGGAAACACCTTCTGAAACACCGAAAGTGATTTCAAGTGATGTGAAAGACTAAACAAAGCAGTGCTGTCACAGACACACATCTGATGGGTTTACTATGAAGGAAGAGAGTAATGGCTTGAAGTTGAAATTTTTAGTGTCACATAAGTGGCTCTCTTTTTACCTGGCTATGTCACTTTGGTAACTTTTGCTGAATATGGGATTTAGTATGTTCTGAGTTTTTGTTCACAATCATCTGGAAATACCAATTTTATTGATTCTTTCAATCAATGCTGGATTTGCTGCTGGGCAGTTGTGTTTTATAAGTTGTGTACTGTACTAACACCAGTAAATGAAACAAAAAGTATCTGTCACATTGTCACTGTGGTACAATATCAAGGCAATATGTGTAATAGACATTTTACTTTGTTCTAAACTGAACTAAAGAGATTTCCATGGCTTTGGGACAGCAATATTTTAATTTATTTG